TCTCTCTCTCTGTCACACTCTTTCTCTCCTTCTTTTCTGCTGTTGCTGCTGTTAAATGTCTTACATTTCACCTGAGTCTCTGTTGCTCTCTCAGGCCTCCACCTCCTCAGACTAAGCTCTAACACACAATGAAATGTTCAACGTCGAATTACCATGGCACATTCAATATAAACTGAATTTACTGTTGGATCTGATCCAAGCCGCCATATGTTAAGGAGCCCGTTTCCCCGAGCAGAGCATGACTGATTTTGTTAATGTAGCAAAGCTCTAAATCACCGGAGCGCAAACTTTCTGCAACAGGGGGATCAAGACTTTTAACACTCTTTTAACACTCCGGCTGTAATGTTCTGGAGACACTCAGAAGGCGTCTCTATGCTTTTGCAACGTGATGTAGCACTCATCACAAGTGTTTGACAAAGGAGCCCAGGCAAGCAGGTCTTTTTCCTTTCAGCCTGTTCTGGAAGTTTGATCTTCTTTTACCTGAACAAGTGATTTAAAGCCATATAGAAATGTATGAAGCTATTATTCTATTTGAATATGCGTAAATAGATCCACAAATAAACTGCGTAAACTAATCTGCAAATATGTAGACCAATTTCAAAATATTTTCTTATTTAGTAATGGCAGTGAACTTCTTCAGCTGTAAATCCTGAAAATACACACAAACGATCGCTTACAACTGAGGCGGGCCTCTCCATTGGCTCTCATTTTACACATGACTTTTTCAACACTCCTGACGTGCAAGATCCACAAATGTATGATACATTAGATACACATATCTGCAAATGTTGTCTGACAATCTGTGAACACAGTAGTGGGGTTTGTTGACCTGATCTCAGGCTCACAGGCTAGCTGCCAGTCTGCGGTAGCACCCAGTGAGTTCAAGACGGACATTACTGAGCTGGATAGCTGTGCAGTTTTACTGAGGAGGCTACGATGGAGGGTCCATTATCTAGTTTGTGTTTTTGAAATTTTGTCTCCTGTACATTGCGGGCAAAGCGGTATGCCGCCTGGCAGCCTAGCATATTCAAATAGTTTTGCCACAATAATAGCTCCATAGAAATGGTTTCAGTAACAAAGTCGTACTGTGTTTCTTCAATCAAGGTGACACTTCTGACACAATTTACACTCAAATATAATTAAAAAACGTACTTCTTGGCAAGTGAATCAAATGCTTGCAGGAGGAGTTAAATCCATTACTTTGTATTCAAGGATAAACATAATAAGGTGTTTAACACTTCCAAATACGGGGGGGGGGAGTGATTTTCGGAAACCTTGATAATATAAAAAAATAATTAATCACTAATTAATTTAGTCAAAAAGTGTTTGCTTTTTCCCCCTGTTTCTGGCTTGTATTAAAGCTGACTAAAAACAATTGTGTTTGATGTTTCTATGTTTACAATGGATCGAACAACCAGCACATGAATGGAGTCTGTGACAAATAGTGACAAACCCACAGCTCGTTATCACCGGACTGACTCTCGCTTTCCTCCAGCTCAACAGTGTAAAACTTGCGTTTAAAGGCCACAACTTCCCTGTTTAGTTTTACTCTCATCCCTCAGTGTTGAGCTCACAGCTTGTTTCTGCAGCCTCCAATTAGCAAAGAAATCAGTTTTTGCAGGTTTGAGTAAAAGTATTTTGATATTAGTTATTTACTTACTATTAACTATTAATATCTTAGTATCAGTAATAGAACCTGACCGATTTATCGGCCAGCCGATAAGAGCATCCAGTGACTATCGGTATCAGCTAATTTTATTGCAGATATGCGCCAATATTACTAGATATAGTCAGCAGTCAAATAGCATTTCATTTTAGTTTCATTGTATTACACTAGCAGTTCTCTTTCACCACTAGTAGAGTGTGCTGTCTGGATTACAACAAGCATTATCGCTCTGCAGAGTGTCAAGTTGTGATGCAGGTACATGCGCAGTTACTTCCCAGTTGAGTGACCATCCTGTCTTCAATATAGATCACTCAACAAGTGTTTGATAAATGCATCTTAGGGATCAACACAATGTGTGTATATCTTCATCGGTCTATCTCAGCTTAGACAGATATCGGCCGATATATCAGCATCAGAATGTTTTTTCTCCCCAATATCGATATTTGTATTGGCCCCTAAAATCCCATATCGGTGGGGCCCTAACCAGTAATAATACCAGGTAAGGTGTTCATTATGCTACCTGGATTATCAGTATATCAATTCAGTATTTGTGTAATGTGTGTAAATGTGTTTTTCTACAAACCCTTTTGCATATCTACAGAGGAAACGTATATACTGTAAACAAAAAGCATCTGTGCAATTTCTCTTCAATGAAATAGTTTCAAACATGCAAAATGTGTTTTTAATCTGGGACAATTTAATCATGCAATAAATAAACAGGAATATGAATCTGACCAGATATTTGCCAGGGTTTATTTATTTACATTTGTCTGATTCATTTTGGACAACCCTACCAAACAAATAATGACATCCTCTCTAGGTGCTCTGACAACCAAACTCTGGCACTGAGCGCTGTTTCCGTCAACTGTAATTGTATGCATTTTCTGTTTTTACTATCAGTCTGTTTAAAATCATCTTCTAATTATTTTTTTTTAATTGATCTTCATTCTTCTATGTCTTACTTATTTTCATGGTGGATTTTTCCTGGCAAATATTCTGCATTGTAGAAAAATAGCATTCGTGATGTCTCATCATTTGTGTTAAATTTATTGGGCGTTTGTTGTTTGTTTGTGTTTTATGTACTGGTGACGATCATACATGTGTGACAGAGAGCATGTGCATCCAGTCAAGGCCTCATTGACCCCCCACCAGTCCGTCCAGTGTTTTATGATGACATTATTTTTATTTGAGTGTTTGCATTGTTGTTTGCATGCCTAAGGACAGACCAGGCCTAATTAAGCGATCACTGATGATGTTAGTCATCTACAGACTGAGTCATGTCACTTCTGGCCATCCTGATTGAATTACTCCTGACTTGAGGCAGGGAAACTCTTGGCGGCACATCAGCGAGCCTTGAAACCTTCACACAGAAAACACACTTGTATTCCCTCAGCCAACAGGCAGTGAAAAATAAAGTAAAACAACATTTTTTTTAGTAAACACAGTGATTTGTATTGCTTGAAAACAGACCAGAGCTCAGAAACATTTTGCCCTCTGTTAACGGCTTTGAGTGAAACCAGTGTTATTCCTTTGGTCCCCTGGCGATACTGGACTGTTTGCGTTGCTCGCTGTGCCTTTTCTCTGTGTCTTTGTGTTTTCGCTGTGACCCGTGGATAGACAAATGCAAAGGGGACCAATGATACATCAGCTGTAGGAGGGATATGTCGAAAGATGTTACTTAAACTGTTGATAACATGGCTCACAAAGTTTCCGTGTTTTCTCTTGTCTTTTGTTTGTCCATGTAACCTTTTTCCCATATTCCCAAAGTTTTGCTCACTCCGTTGACTCTCTCTCTCCATCTGTTACTCGTGATGTAATATCCATTTGACTTTGTTACCTACTTCATCTGCCCACTAAATCCTTATGGAGCTCAATATTCCTCCAATATAGTGTTCTAATCATTTTCATTTGCGTCCACTTCCTTTTTATACTTTTTACATACAGCGTGTTTAGGGGACTTTTTTCACAATACTTCATGGTGTGTGATAACATTGTCAATAACATCATTAGGAGAAAATTGAGTTCGAGAAATTGAGTTAGGAGAGTTGGAACAGGGGACATGTGGCCGCCAACACATGAATGTGTGGGGATATCGACTTTCTTTCACAATGATTTCCTCATACAGCGAGGCCCTCTCTTTGTCCACTTTCAGCTCCACTTCTCTTGTTTTGTGATGTTTCGTTGATGTTCATAAAGCGTCTGTTTTATAGCTTCATATTCAGGTTTGAATGAGGAACATGATGATTAAATTAAATAAGTACTGTGTGATTAAGGCGAGCAATACAATTAATAACAAACAGAAGAGGCACATTAAAGCAAGAAAGCATTCTTTTAGGGAAAATTCAATATAAAAGATTTGAAATGCTGAATACATGATAGCAGTGAAATAAAGTAAAAGATAAACACAATATATTAAAGACTACTTTAAACCAATATGTTTTCATAGTAATATGTTTACAATAGAGACCTTGGAATAAAACATAATCTACTTGATAAAACATTACATGACATTTCTTCATGGAAATTAAAAAAAATAATTATGAAATATAATTTTTCTGCACAAGACTTTCATCACAGTGACACTGTTTCATTTGGTCTTTATTGGACAATACCTGAGAAGCTTTTTGAATAAAAGATAAATCATCTTTAAAATATCTTTAGACTTAACTGTTTCAGATAACAGTACAGCCACTTTAATACCCCACCCACACCCCCACCCATTACAACCACCACCCAAAAAAACAAATGTATGTTTTAATTAATTAATTAATTAATTAAAACGAAAGGTAATCAATAATTTTCTCAAAAGCATTTATTGCAACCCTTTTTATCAACTGTTGGTAATGGTCATGGAAAGTATGTACTTACAATTCCTAATTGAAAAAAAAGTGACACTTTTATTGGCTGGATCTTCCGTACACATTCATTTGGGGGAGTTTATTTTTCTAAAAACGACGCATCTCCATTTGGAAGACAATTCCTCAATTTTTCCAGCAATAATATTTGGAAATAAATCTCTCCGGCATTATTCTCACTGTCACTTGCTGGACTCTGCCAAAGAGCTCTGCATATATCACCAGACGCAAGCCAACAATTATTCCTCAGGAGATAATTAATAAACTAATAGGATTTCAGTATGTCACTGTTGGCACTGATCCCACCATAAACTGATCATTCTTCCAAAGCAGTAGATCACTGGGTCCAGTTGGCTCAGCATCTTTTTGATTAGAGCGTTACTTTTGGTCATTGCTCTGCTCTAAAAATGCGGTAATATCATCACATACCAGTAATTCAAACTCTTGAATGATTAATCTCCTGTTCTTTTTTTTTTTAGTTAACGGTGCCTACTGCTCAGAGAAGGATGCAGACGCCGAGCTGGGTGACGCCGACGGCTCCCTGATGCGATGTGGGCAGAGCATGCCACTGCTGGTGGGGAGTCATTTAGGGGGGCTTTACACCCAGAGCCTCCACTGTGGCAGACCTGAACCTGACCTCCTTCTGCAGGACGGTCCTCACCAAGACACCAGGTAAACTGTCATTGTCATGCCGCTGTAAAATGATTTTGTTCCTGTTCCAGTGTTGAATTCTTCCTGTGGGTATAGTATTACTAACAATATGCAGGTACAATGTGTTTCTCATTATTTTTGCTTTTGTGAAGCAAATGCACACATATGTCGCTGGAAAGCTTTACAGCGTCTCATGAAAAAACGACAAGGGGTCCAAAGTATAACATTTATGTTACGCTAATGCGATTCTTCTGTTGTGCAACTTTGACTACTGTAAGTCAAAAGAATCCCCAGGAAAGCTTTCTTTTATGTGTTATGGGATTTATCCTCCTTCTTTTCCCTCCTCCTTTCTCTCTATCTTCAACCATCCAACCAAAAAAAAGCTTCTGGACAGACATTCAACCCTCTCATATGGTCTTTCAATATTTTTGCTGCAGCCAAACAGGAAATGGCGCTCGACAAAACAAAGCGAAGGGGATGTGAAACCTTTATTAACAACAACAACAGCAGCGACAAAGTCCGCCCGTGGCTCTCTAAAATCCAAGCTAGCGTTAGCTCTGCTGTTCCCCCCAATGTGCTCGGGGGGGAAAGGACAAAGATGATGCCTTCATGAGACAGCCCGCAGAAAAGCGAGCTCTTCTCTCACATCACTCAGGGGCTTTGGACAAAATCCATAATGAGCCAACTGACAGGAATGATTATGTAGGAGATCACAGCAACGCATGGAGAAATCTGACCTGGGTTCCCCATTCAGCAGGGCAAAGATTCCCACCATAATACACAGTATTGTAAAAAGTGACCCTTCATAGGCTGCAATTATGTCACCAAAAACAGGTGACTCCCTATTTATCCCCAATGTAGGGTTTGGTTTAACCCCTTTGTGTCATCAAAGCCTGTCAGATGGACACACTAGCCAGTGGCCTCTCAGTCTCAGCAGCCTACCCCCCCTCCTTATTCTTAGCCATAAATGCCCATTCATGTCCCCTCACTACCACAGGATCCTGTTTCATTTATTCATGAAAACACTTTGAATCATTGGCGTTGGTGTGCAACATCACATTATACCTGCATCCATAACTTGGCCTCCACAATTATTGGTTTATACCCTGAAAAAGAGAGGTCAGCAATACTCATTTACGTTGACTTGACTTTTCATAATACTCAGAGAAAGATTGAAGGAGAATGGTTAGCAGGAGATGTAGCTCTGCTGAGGCTAAGAGCTGCTGGTGGGAAGGATCAACCAGCCTCAATCTGTCATCAGCCTGCAAGCTAATAGCGCTCATATTCCCGTCTGTGTCCTTTTCTCCTTACAGATCCTCCCCTGCCTTCCAGAGGACCCTGCCGGGGGCCTCACCTAGCCTGGGCTGCGGCAGTGCCAATGGGGCTCACTCCTCTCTGCACTACCCGATCAAACAGGAGAACCCAATGGGCTATAAGATCTCCAACACCGAGTCCAGGGTCCAAGCCACCCTTCACGCTGGGTTTCAGAACTGTAGGGCGGGCCAAGTTTTGGGGGTGACAAGGGACCAGGTAGTTGGAGCACCACAAGTTAGCAACAGTAATGGCGTGTGCACAGTCAGTGGTGCAAGTAGTGCTGCATCAGGGGACGCAGTGCAGGCCTTTAATAATGAAAATGGCTCCTCCCCGCTGGCTTTGTCCCCAACTGGCTCCCGTCATTCAGCGCGGCTACTCAGTGCTAGCAGTCAGAAGAGACGCTGCCTGTCCCTGGCCTCACAGTCCAACGGGGCTGCAGCGGGTTCGCAATCAAATTCTGGCACTGTTTCTGAAGAGATCAATATCACCGCCATCATCTGCTCCTCCTCCCAGATGTCAATGGTTGCCTGCGTCAACGGGGTCCGCACTAACCTCTCGCCAACCCACGCCAGCAGTGCCGGCTTTTCCTCCTCTTCCTCCTCCTCTTCGACATCCCCACTTTCCAACTCCTGCTCACGAGAAGCCCCCCAGAGGCCCCCACCACACGGCAAACCCCAACAGGCCTTAGTACAAGAGAGCTGTCGGCTGTCCTCACCTGTCACCTGCTTACACTCACTCTCCTCCTCCTCCACTTCGTCCTCCTCGTCGGTGTCGTCAGCCGAGCCGGAGCAGGGTCAGGGGCTTTGTGAGGAACAGGGCTCCATGCTACAGGGGCGGGGGACTGGAGGAACAGCTGGGGGGGTTGTTGGAGGAGGAGGAGGGGGGCAGGACCAGTTAGGGCTACTGATGAGTCGGGCTCTGATGTCTGGGATGCTGCATTCAGGGCCAGAATCTGGCGCTCTTCTGGATGGAGGCCAAAGATCCGGGGCTGCGATGAAGCAGGAGCCCCTGGATGATTTTTCTCCCAGTGAAGACGAGCTCTTTCAGCACCACTATCATCATCACCAACCTCTGAGTGGCCGCAGTGGGCACCTTCGTCACCCTCACCAACCCTCTCGCCCTACTATGCCTCCTCCCTACCACTTGCACCAATACGTGGGGCCCAGTCCTGGGGGGCTGATGCACCCCCAGAGCCAGCAAACAGCACCAGCCTCTACTTTGGGACTCAAACCAACCACCGGATGCCCCCCTGGCTCTCACTCAGCCCAAGGGCGGGATGAACTTGGAGGAGGAGCATTGGCTGATAGGCAAGTGTGTCGCTGGATTGACTGCAGTGCTGCGTATGAGCAGCAGGAGGAGCTGGTGAGGCACATTGAGAAGGTCCACATTGACCAGCGCAAAGGTGAGGACTTCACCTGTTTCTGGGCCGGCTGCATTCGCCGTTACAAGCCCTTCAACGCCCGCTACAAGCTGCTTATTCACATGAGAGTCCACTCTGGAGAGAAACCTAACAAGTGTATGGTAAGTCATCAGAATCCTGTAACATTATGGAACAAACACCTACACAGACAACAGGTTAATAGTGTTCACAATGCATACATCCAGTAGTGTTATAAATCCCCTCAAAGAAGGCTGTCTTGTTCAGACTTATTTTTGCTTCTTATTGAAAGGATTAAGTTCCATTTCTTCCATCTTTTGATATGAGCTTAGTTTGTCCAATAATTGCATCCATCTGTTATTTTTTAGATTTAAACTAAAGCACATATTGTTCAGATTAATGCAGTCCCCCATGATGACTTTTCCTCATGAAAAAAAACTCGGCTTGCTTCATTTCTGATTACTTCTCAACACAAACTCCTATTTTGTTTCAGTTAGGAAACTGTTATGATTGTTAGTTCTGTATTTTTTAAGTGGAAATGTGAAAAAAAAAAAAAAAGATATATTTATTATGTTCCCTGAAGATGTGGCAAGATCAGCATTTCGCTGTCAGTACAGATAGATTTGTGGTTGTTTATTTTACAGGTAAGTTTCCAATTCCACAAGTCAACACACTAATCAATGTCAAGCTGTCACTCCCCCGCGTCTGTTAGTGCATGGAAAAAGCCCTCCAACTCTAAGAGGGATTTAGTCCAAATACACAATTAGTCCACAATTTGTGTAGGGCGAAGCTATGTTTATTTTCACAAGCACTCTGTTTTTTTGAGAAGGGATTCAGATGATGAAAAGCCAACACATATGGTTAACAAAACCAAACAATGCCTACATTCGATCCTTTTCAACGGAGGCTTTAAATGTTTGGCTGTCCCACAAGTATTAAGTGCTTCATATTCAAGCCAAACACGGGGAGAAATGCAGTAGTCTGAAGAAGCTGATCCACACAGGGATCGTCAGTAATATGCGCTCGTCTTGCTCAATTCACGGCTTCACCTAAAGCCCCTGTCAGAAGTAGTCCTCTTCAAGTTCAGGAAGCCATCCAAGTCCTAATTATCAAAGCACTGAGTCTGCAATATTGCCCCAGCACCTGTTTTATCTCAAGGCCTATTTTTTTTTTTTACTCTGAAAAGAAAATAATACCAGGTCTTGTTTGTTTTTCTAAATAACAGTGGCTTGTAGAATTCGCTGAGATGAGGGTCTGTTAATAGAAAGTTGTTTTTAAAGGCAGTTTTCTGTGGAGTTGGATTAGAAATTCATGTTTATTCTGACTGATTCTGGTACTTATTAGTGAGCTCAAAGACTGAAAAACTCAACTGTGGCTGCTGCTTTGCGTAACTTTCTGTTTCGGTGGCTTTTAACAACGTGAAAGTTTGGAAATAATTATCTGAATTTCAAATTCCCTAACTGTTAATTCTGCTTAAGGAGCGTGTTTTATTTAGTCTTTTCTATCGGCTCGTTCTTGTTAAGAAGTTCTTCTTGTTGCTCTTCGACGCTCTCTCTGCCTTTATTGCAGCGAGGTCTGAAGTCACATTTGGGAAACGCGCGGCAAACAGTAAATGTTTGAATGTGTATGCAGTGTAGGTGTATGCATGAATATGTCACTGTGAGGTGTGTGCGTGTGTGTGTGTTTATGTGTGTTGTTTGAGATGTTTACCATATGTGAGCACTGGAACAATTCAGCCCAGTGTGGACGAGCTGCTGGACTCTGTCTGCGGACATGAGGCACTGAGAAACTACAGCTACACAACCTAACCTCCTCATCACCTTGACTCCAAGCACACACACGTGAACCCGCTTATTCACATCCATGTTAAAACGACACATTGTTCTCATTGACTTTCACAATAGGAAATATTGATTCTGTGTACCGTACGTAACACTCCTGCTTTTCCAACAGAACATAAACAGAAAAGTGAAATGTTTCCAATCTTGAATCAACAAATGTAATCAGCAGGGATTGAATGTGTGTTGATGTGGGACTCTAGCAGATAAACTTGGAGAGCCAGAGAAAATAAACATGCTCTCTGGGAGTATTTGTAGCTGTGTTTGTGTTTTTCGTATAATCTATAGCGATTTAAGGAAGTACTTTGTTGGAAACCCAAAGTCTCTGTGTGCGTTGTTGTATAAAGGGGAACATTTTTCATGTTTTTCAGTGTGTCAAGCCTCAGTTCTAGTTTGTCTGAGCTTGTGTGCTTTTTGGCACAGATTCCTTCTGTGTTCAGGGCAATAGACAAAGGCATTCAAGAATCTGAACAATTTGTATAGAGGAGGCAGATGAGACATTCTGTTTTTTGGACCAAAAAACGGAGCAAATCGTTTTATTATCTTTCGGCAGATTCAAGCGGGCGCTCATGAAACGGGGGCCTCCTCACATCCAAACATAACACTTCTCTCTCCTCTCTCCCTCTCCCTCTCCTCCTCTCTCTACATACAGTAGAAACTGTATCTCGTTCTCTTCACACAGCTGCACAGCATTAGCTTCATGCTGCGTCTTGGCAGGAAAAAGTCATTATCACAACACACTAGTCGTACCCCCGAACCCCTGCATGGACTTGTCACAGTCTGTACCTGGATAATATTTGAAGAAATTTCGCATTTGAAAACATTTCAGTTCCTTCCATATGTAGATGGCTAAGTTTGTGGCTCTTAAAAAAGTTCAGTTACCTTTGGGTTTGGTTCCCTCTCCCCGCCAATTAAAGGCGGCCCTGGGCTGTTGTGTAGGGCAGGCGAACACTGAAGGGCATGGGCCAAGAGGAAACAACATAATCTCCCTGCAATATCCTGTTGTGTTTCATGCCTAATTCACTTGTTGTTTTAGTTTATTACATTTTTTTTCCCTGTGTCTGCATAAATATTAAAAATATATCCAGCAGAAGTAGCCCTGACATGGTCCCAGACTTTGATATTGTTCTGCATTGTCAGAGGCCGGCCCGGTGGATTTGAAGCGTCTGAAAACAGGACTGTGAGCTATGAGGGTCAGAAAAGATCCTATAACTGCAGGCACTGTGTGTGCAGAGGACACAACAGTTACATGGAGTGGAGTGACTTGAGGCAGGAGTGCAGCTCTGTCTGCTTTATATGGTTTGTTGGCATAGCTTTATTGGTTTTGTCCTCTACTATTGAAAACAAAAGCAAATCCTATGTTGTTCTGGAATAGAGGGTTGTGGTCAAAGGCATGAAGCATGATTCAGTTGTTTGGGAGTGCTGGAAGCCACAGTCTTCGCTCTGCAACCCAGTCACAAAACGTATTGTTGTAAGTAGATTGAAGGTGTTGGAGGAAGATGCTTAATGGGATCAAATCCAACACACGTGCACACACACACACAGACAATCATTAAAACATGCACACACACTCAGACTCACCGACCCACTCAGGAAAACCACTTGTTGAGGGAAAGTTGGATGTTGAGGCCTGCTGGGTGAAAGAAAAGTGTAGATCATGGAATGTTTTCCCCCCCACTTGTGTGAGACCTGCAAACATATACGTGCATTTAGATCGACCTCACTGATTTTTGGAGAAGAGAGGCAAAATCCCTCGGTTGCAGATGTTAAGAAGAAGATTGCTGGCGGTTGCCAAGATGGCGCCTGTTTCCAGGGGTAAAAGGAGTCTTTTGTGAGCAATCAGCTCGGACACAGGAGATGAAACAGGGAGTTCCATTAGCTAATTAAAACTGAGGTTCAGCACATGACCAGACTTTCTCTCTGAATGCTGCCTGAAACTGGAGTCGTCTGGGCACAGGGTGCGGGCGGCGAGTGACGTTGATATTAATGTGTTTGTACCCGTTTGAGCCTCTAACACTCAGGCCTGTCTGGACAATTTAAAGGCCAGAATCCCCCGAATCCAGCTCCTGAACCACCGGGGCCAGAAAAACAGCGGTACCTGATGTATGTCTTGTTTTCTTTTAACAGATGCTACAGAGCAGTGAGAGCACTTAGAAGGAGATGCTAGGTTGTAAAGATGTTGGCTTTTCATGTACTGAGAAATGGAAATTAAAGATAAATCTTAAAAAAAAAAAGAAAATCAGCATGCTGTTACATCATGCAGACCGACCTGAGTAACTAGTATCAGGATGCGTACATACATATTCACTTTGTTGCACTAGGAAAGGAGAGGTCTGTGCATGGCTCATTTAGAGTTATCAGGGTCAATAGTCGAGAAAGAGTATTGATTTAACTTGGCAGGAGTAACTGCCAAGCTTCAGAAACAGAGCTCAGAGAGCCTGTTAAGTCAGGACAAATGCACAGACCTTATCAGGCCTGGATAAAAACCTGGGGAAAACAATTTACAGCAACCTTATTTGAAGGTCCTGTGCATCTGCTATTCAATAAATAGTTCTCAGAATAAATGTTGTCAGTCGTTCCTCAGCCAAATGAGTTCATCAGGTAGTTAGGTAATACCTTTTTAAAAGCCCATAATCCTCTGCCTATCTTTAAATTCTGTTGTTTTCCCTTGGCAGTCCGGCCGTCATGCTAATAGTAACACAACACTGTCCACATGTGATGTCGGTATGATGAAACTGCTGGCTGAGGGCTCTGGGACTGAATGAATGCTTTGAATAAATGGATCCTGCTTGTTTGAGTGGACCAGGCCAACTTCTTGTCAGCCCCGAAAAAAAAAAAACGTTTTTCCAGTCAAATCTTTTGCTGCAATGTAGTCCAATAGTGTCCAAAATCACCCCCACCTCCCTCACTCTGCCACTATCTATCATGGAATGTAGGATGGCTTTGATTCACTCAACACTTACCAGAACTAAATACACACAAAACCAGGACAAAGTCAGTCTGTTTGTCTTTTAGAAATTCCAATATTCTTGTCAATATTAAGTTTTAATATGACATTTTTTATTATAAAAAAATCTACAGAGATTTGATATTTCAAAAATATAATTAACGTAAAATTCAACAAACCATATAATTCATATTTCAACCAAGATAAACTTAAACACTAGCTTTCTCCAACTTTCTAAAGTAAAATCCTGATAACTAAAGAAATTATAAATACTAAATTCAGGTATGATCTATTACATGTCTTGTTCACAAAATATATAGACTATTTTAGCTATAGGTAATATTTATTTATTTATCGA